AGCTAAAGTTTGCTTAATTGTTTCTTTGCTGGAACAGTTTATCAGCAGAAGGTATTGTAACCGTAGGTCATTTGAAAGCTCAGCTTCAGCTGTGACTAGTCTGTTTAGTCAAAATTTACGATTACTGTGCTGAAGACTACGTGGTATCAAACGGCGGCATCGTTCAAAGGCGGTAAAAATATTTTGCGAAGCATCATTTATGAGATTTTGTGCATAAGCTCATTTACATGATATAACTATCACACTGATACTAAACGTTAGCCGACTCTTTTGATTCTAGCTTCATGACAGCCTGTAGATAATGATTCATGATTGTCATTTAATTTGTTTAAGTTAAATGTGTCATCCTTTCAGTTTCCCTTGAAGTTAATCGATCTTCTTATTATACGGAAGTTATATCAATTATTAATCTTGTTCTTTCTTGAAGATAGTGACAGAAATGAATTATGCCCTTATGAAGTACTTTCATAAATAAATTCTCATTAATTGCGTGTGCCGCAGTTGCTGCTTTCTTTATCAATAAGCTATTGCGGCTAATTCAGCGTTGCTTCTGCATGCATTCCGTAATATGAAATCAACGATTACAAGTTCATTATGAATATTATAGACCGTATTAATAATATGATTTTTATTCAATTTTAATCCGCTGTTGAATTTCGCTTTTAAATCTGTTGCAGATGAGAGTTATTTACAGGAAAATTAAAAAGGGAATGGCAAATTAATAGAAAACTATTGAGAACTACAAAGTACGCAAAGAGCGATTTTTAACCTAGCTGCAGTAATCGATCTGAGGGTATTTTCATGAAATAGTTTCATATCTGTTTCAAATATTTTTAACTTATCAAGCATTAAATTTTGAAGGACAGCTATTCGGCTATCAGCGTTGTGAAAGCTAACTTCGAACTATTTTGAGACTGTTTCGGCGCAGCACTTTTATGGCAGATTTTGCTTGGATCTATGCGAAAAAGTAGTGTTGATTCTAAATAGATTAAATGCGAGCTGCGTTTATGTAAAGTATCGGTGATGGATTCACGCACATGTAGTTTATACATAAATTCTATTCTGTGTCCTCCAATTTGTGAAAAACATATATTGTCAAAATATTGCATCCCGTGATGAAGCCAAGTACGAAGGTACGAAGGGTATATGAACATCAACAGCTACGGAACAAATGAATATTTCTTACTTGAAAAAATCGACTTGCAGATCAGCGATTATCAGGTGTCACCCATCTAGAATATAAACTATTCATTGATACTATGATTGCGGTCAGCCAACCTTTGCACAGCTAGCTCTAGAAAATACCGTATGACCCGATGATGGCGAGCACATGCCGCCATCAAATAAGCATGCTGCTAACCCCAGCGAGCCGTAGCCGGTTCACAGCCCGGTTGAAAAAGAGAGGTTGGCGTCAGGCAGAGAGCCGGCCTTAGAAACAAGTGCTGAAGCCATATATGATGAGTCAACTTATCTGTAGAAAAATTCTTAGGGCGTTCCACACAGGAGACGCGCAGCAGCAAATCCCAATGCCTGTGAGAAATGAACAA